GTGGTACGCGAGCACTCGGGCCCATCAGTAAGAAAGATAAGATAAGATAATAAGACTATGATAAGACATCATAATTAAGCATAATCAGCTCATGCATATTTATTCATGTGTACTCACAATTATTTTACGAGATATAGTTCCTACTTGCTGAGCGAAAGCTCAATCAGATATGTTCATGCTGTAGGTAAGAAACCTATCAGCAATTCTTGAAGGGCAATGGTGAGCGGCGGACGAATGGTGGAGATGGGAATGGATACCGCTCACGCAGTTATTTTCCGCAGTAAGTTTAAGAAAAATCATGTATATGTCTATATGATTCAAAGGTTTCAAGTATGTATGTTTAAAAAGTATACGTACATATGTATGTTAAGAAAACCAAGGTTGTAACTAACAACCCTAGTTTTGAGTATTTAAGTTTTAGAACGTTGCAACAGTACATGCAACAAAGAAATAAATTTTAAACATGAAGATTTAAATGAGTAATTTTGGAAGGACTTTAAGATGTACTTGAATTTAAGATTTCTCACGAAATCCGTTTTAAAGTCAAATGAGATGGCCGATTGAAATGACTAGTTTTAGAAAAGCTTTTAAAGAGTATTTAAAACAAGAGTTCAAATGCTATTCCATTTGAAGGATATTCCTAAAAGGTTTTATCTTAACTAAAATTAAGAAAAGCTTTAAGAAATTTAGTGATTCACTTATTTGAAATTATTGTTACAAATTATGAAAGTATTCCTTCTTATATATATAAAAAAAAAAAAAAAAAAAAAAATGTTCCGCATATTTGTAGAAACCCCAGTAAGTACAAGTTAAAGTATAAGTTATAGTGGCCGCCTCATAGGAGGGTCGTCACATTCGTGACCTTAGAACAAACTGATGGATGTGATTAATCTCCGCGGATGTACCAGAACCAGCCACACGCAAGGCTCTAGGAGGAATGTCTACTAATGTTTCTTCTTAAATATTCAGAGGTCAGAACCTTATTTTGTGTAATCCCCTTTTTGTTTTTGCTTAAGCTCTCAATCTTACCATGTTACCTTTTTTTTGGCTTCAGTAGGACACTTTCTAGGAGTTGCAGCATCATGGACTCTGCAGTATTCAGAGGCCAGAACCTTGTTTTGTCTACTTATGTTTCTTCTTTGAGATTCGCCAATTCTTAGTACAAGTGAAGCATCTTCGGAATGCATCCTTTGTTTAAGTTAATGGTATATGATGCAAACTAAAGAAGAGGGTGGTGAAATCAAAACACAAAAACAAGTGAAATTGCATCACTAGTTTTCGCTTCTGTGGAAGCAGGGGACTTGTGCCACCGTATTTTTCTCTTCAACTAGAGAATGGATTGGTAAGAATTTTCTCCAAAACTAATGCTAGTTTTCTTATGAACCCTTTGTTATTGTTCAAACTCTTAACTTTACATAAAATGTGCCACCTTTAGTTTCTGCAGGCTGCACTGTTGATCTGTAATGTTAGAGTTAATGTTGCTGATGTGCCGCATAATTTGGATCTCAAATGCCGATTGCTCGAACTATTAGTCAATATTGTCTTTTATGTAGTTATATGAGATTGTTGTATCTGTATAAATAAGGGCACTTGATCATTTATGTAATTCACTGGTTCACTCTGTTGGTTTTAGTCTGTTTTGCTTGAGAGCTTTGAGAGCGATTTTCTTAAGAGGCATTTTTTTCGGTTGTAATTGGGGACTAAGGGAAATAGAGTGAGAAACGCTGGTTTTTGTGAGCTATTGAACATCAAGATCAGACTCTGCACACTGAGTCCCGGGGATGTAGCCAGTTCTTTGGCCAAACCCCGTTAACAAATTCTGACTTCTTGATTGTTTGATTTGTTGTGTGCTTTTGATCTCTTCGTTTATTTATAATCTGTTGTTGCATGTCCTGAGCTCTTGATTTATTGTACATGATTTATTTATAACCTGTCTTTTTCAAATTTGAACAGTATACTTTCCAATTTTGGAAGCACTTCTATGATAAATATCTGGAGTGGAAATTACATGGGGTAAAGGAAAGAGAGAATCACGTCTAATAGAATCGATTGAAACTTGTGGTTTTTCATGTGTTCTTGGAAATTTATATGCAAATAGTTTTTTGCTTCATTTTCAACTTTTGAGTTTTCATTGCAGAAAAATGCCCTCAATAAAGTTGGGGGATACAGAAAATATCCCAAGAAAAAAATTTAGATTTCTTTAGTAGTATTATGCTGACTACATTTCCGTATAGCATTGCATTGCACTAAGAATTAATTTTCACAACACAACAATACCTTCTTCCCTGTCTCAGTGGCTATCACAGGCAAACTAAGGGCAAAAAACTAGACAAGTAAAACTTAATTTCAAGTGTCCCAGATCATCACAACAGCAATAACCCCAATACCAAGCAACACAGCCGAAAACTTGAGAAAAGGAGTGTCCACATAAACCGTTTTCTGAGGCGTATAGCCCATGGCTAGAAGATGATTTATGGACACATAGATGAACACCCCACAAGCCAAGCCCATGGATATCGCGAAGATCCAATCCGCCACGGGACCTTGTGTCGTGGCGTCAATTATTATCCCGATTACCACACCAATCGGACTAGAAATGGCAAAGGCAAATGCATAGGCTGCGCATGATAACAGAGGACGGTTCGGGATCATCCGGAGGAGGGCAATTCCCATGGCAATGGCTGCAAATATCTTGTGAAGAGAAATAGTCCAAAGAGCTTTCCAAGCATCGGCTTTTGTCTCCGCTACTCCGATGGCGATTCCCTCGAAAAGGGAGTGAAAACATAGAGCCACAATCAACAGAATACTGTCCCCTAATGAACCAACAGTTGCAACACTAGCAGCTGGATTTGCATGGGGTTTAGCAACACAGCCGAAAACTTGAGAAAAGGAGTGTCCACATAAACCGTTTTCTGAGGCGTATAGCCCATGGCTAGAAGATGATTTATGGACACATAGATGAACACCCCACAAGCCAAGCCCATGGATATCGCGAAGATCCAATCAGCCACGGGACCTTGTGTCGTGGCATCAATTATTATCCCGATTACCACACCAATCGGACTAGAAATGGCAAAGGCAAATGCATAGGCTGCGCATGATAACAGAGGACGGTTCGGGATCATCCGGAGGAGGGCAATTCCCATGGCAATGGCTGCAAATATCTTGTGAAGAGAAATAGTCCAAAGAGCTTTCCAAGCATCGGCTTTTGTCTCCGCTACTCCGATGGCGATTCCCTCGAAAAGGGAGTGAAAACATAGAGCCACAATCAGCATAATACTGTCCCCTAATGAACCAACAGTTGCAACACTAGTAGCTGGATTTGCATGGTGTTTAGTGTCATGGCTCTGTTGAGGCATAAAGGAGAATCTCATAAACATAAAACTAAAGCTATAACACGTTGTCTTAAATTACACTTGCTAAAATAAAAATAAAGTTAAAATATTAATACCTGGAAATGGCTTTGTGGGGTTCCACCATTTTGTCCAACCTTTCCCTTCTCAATACTCCCTGCAATGAAGAACAAAAAACGAAGAAAGATAAATTTTAACATGATTATCCTATGGACTCCATTAAGACCTAATAAAATTGACCAAACGGATCAATCATAGTTTTATTTTGCTGCTAAAAACTTTCTGATTATGTCATTTTTACAAATGGCTCTCAAAGAGTAATAGCCTTTTGGCACATTTCTCCCTCAAACTTTTTAAATTAACAAAACAGTCCCATTTTTTCTTCTTTTACCAATATAGTCTTTAAATTCATCAAACTATGACAAATTCATACATTTTTCCAAGTGTAAGAGCAAAACAAAAACGCATATCTCTTGTTTCCAAAAAGAGAAAAAGAAGAGAAACCAAATCTTTAATTCCAACAGAACAGAGTGAAAAACAAAGAAACCCCATTTTCCCATCAACCAAACAGAACACAAAAACCCACTTACCTCCAACCTCAACATCGCCATTCCCACCATTTATCTCCTTATCAAACACATGAGAAACGACACAATCCGCAAGCAAAGTGAGCAAAAACCCAAAACAAGCCAACATAAACGCAAAAGGATATTCCTTTGTCGTCAAATCCTCAAAAGCCTCATTGGCGTCGTTCAAGAAGTGCATAAGAGCCGTGCCCAGAAACACTCCGCCGGCGAACTGCGTGCCCAACACCAAAAACCTCTCGTCCCATTTCAGGAAATACGGCGACAAACCGCCGATAAAAGTGGCAGCGAAAATCAGTATCAAACACCATATTTTGGTCAGTATTAGGGACGTGGAGTGGAGAGAAGAGGAGGTTACGGCGTCGTTCTCGTCGACGTCGTCGTCGTGGTGGCCGCTGTGAGCTAAGGATGAGAGAGAGAGGGAGAGAAGGAGGAGAGAGAAAATGAGGAGACGAGGCATTTAGGAAGGATATGGAAGGTGGGAATTAATGGGGTTGATGAATATTGGTTTGGTTGTGGTTGGTGTTTGTGTTTGTGTTTGCGTTTGCGCGCGCGTGTGTATAAAATATGTTTATATTAGTTTGGTTTTAATAGTGTTTGTACTACGCAAGGGAAGATGAAGAGAGAGAAAGAGAGAGAAAGAGAGAGGAGAGAGAGAGAGTACTGCACATAAGAGGACAAAAGTGGAAATTTTGTTTGTACTACACAGCAAGGGTGAAAATATATAGAAATATCGGTACTGTAAATTTACGAAAATATCAGTGAAAATATCATAAAAATTTATGAAAATGAAAAGAAAATTTACATTAGAACATATTTTTAATACTTTGTGATAGTATTAACATTAAAAAGATACGTAAATAAATAAGTTTTAGACAAAAAAACCTCATACATATTACATTTCTTAATATCAAAATGAAGTTCTATGAAAGCTCAAACGTGGTTGTCCATCTTGATTCAAACATTCTCCGTTCACTTCGTTGATTCGAGTCTAAAATTTAAGTTTTTCTACAGTAAAAAGCTCTCACAAACAATCACATCTAACTTTTTTGCTACAGTAAAAAGCTCTCACATAAAGTCACATCTCAACTCGAATCAGCGAAGTGAACGGGGTAGTATTATGACATGTTATTTGAATAATGTTGAACAAAGTTATGAACGTGCCACATGAAGATTTATTAATCCCTTCCCACTGTATTTTTATGAATTAGAAATTGTGAATTCCCCTAATCGTTTGCCTGAGATGATGGTGGTATGTTTAGATGAAAATAATTAAAAATTTCATATCTATCATAGTTTCTAAAATTATGACTATATGAATAATGAATATTATGAGTCTCTTAGAAGAGCTACAATAATCAGAACACAAATTCATCGATTGTTTCATCAGATGTTTACATTCTTGATATTCCTCGCTCTCTCCTTGTTAGATGACAAAAGAAATAATGCAAGAAAATATATATTATAAAGAAAATTTAAAAAACAAAAACAAAAAAAACCTTTAAAATTTCTATTTCCAAAATCATTGAAATTTCACCGAAATTTCTCTAAAATTTCTCTGAACTTTCTTGATATTCTGCCCCAATTACTCTAGATGCAAACTAATATCAACATTTCGACCGATATTTTCCGACATTTCAAATATTTTCCCCATATTTTATCGATATTGATATTATAGTAGAATTTTGAGACCCACAAAAATCTGAAATTTCCACCGAAATTTCAAAAATTTGGGCGAAATTTTAGTCCATTCTATATGTCATATTTTAACGATAATTGTGTTAAATTAGTGTCGAAAATGCACGTTCGATGAAAAATTTGAACATCCTAATTCAAATGTAACACAAATCTTTTAACTCTTCAACTTTTAATCCTTTAAATCTTATAAAAAAGTTTGAGCTAATTAAAATGGAAGCATTGCAACAATTTTATAAGTTTGAAGAGTAATTGTCAAAATCAAAATTTTGAGGTGTAATGTTCTAAGCCACGATAAGTTCGAGGAGGAGGACCTACGTTAAAAAACCCTAATTTTTTTGGTATAATATATATATATATATTGGTATTGATTTTTATATTTTTTTGGTATAATATATATATATATATATATTGGTATTGATTTTTATGAATATAAGATAGTACAAGAATCATAGTAGAATAAAGAAGACAATTTAAAAAAATTTAATAACTATTTAACTTTACAACTGTTTGAATGAAGTAAAATATAGTTGTCCAAAGAAAACAATTTAAGGTGGTTGAATATCTTGAGTTGGCAAATACCTCTTAGGAGGGATCAATCTTAAAATGATTAGATTTGATTTTTGAAGGGCTATTGGGACAGCCGGTGGCAATTTTTGGAGCTTGTGGTACTCAAATAGTGATTAAAACAGATTTAATATTAATCAAATAGGACAACAAGAATGTGCTCAATTCAAGTATATGTCAACGAAATTATTGCACTTTTAAAATGACAAGATCATTAGGCAATAAACATTACTTTTGAAAATGACAGAGTTTTCATGAATACATTTGCTTGTTAAAAAACAAGTTTATAAGTATGATTATCTCTATTCCCGAGTTTATCCCTTACTCATTATCAAGTAATAGATTATAAAAATTGAGATCAGTCATCCGTGTCAAGTAATAGATTATAAAAATTGAGGTCAGTCATCCGTGTGGATCTGACCTTTTTCTTTTTTGTAACAGTTAATGAACATAATTTGAATTGACATTTAAGATACTTTTAAAATTACAAAAACCAACTTTTTACAAGAAGACAAAATAAATGATACTAGCATAAAAAATTATACATGTCATTTGGTGTAAAATATTATCTTAAATTTATGAATTATTAATTGTGTCAATGAACATTAATTTGAATCGACATTTAAAATACTTTTGAAATTATAAAAACCATTTTTTTACAAGACAAGATAAATTATACCAGCATAAAAAAAAACATGTACATATCATCAGGGTCTAAAATATAATTTCATCATGAAATGTCAAATCTCAATAATAAATTACAAATTATTACAATTCAACGATAGAAGTTCATTGTACATGATCAAATCACATTATTAACAAATTAATTCCAAAGTTGTCAAATGATATTTTCTAAATATGCATTTGATACTTACTTGCCCCTCTGAAAATTTGACAACAAAATAAAAGGGACAAAGGAACAATAATTAAGACATAAACTTAATTATCACGCGCGAGTGTATACGACAATATCTAGAAAATTCCAAGACAAAGCTAACGTTGGCACGGCCAGGATTCCGAATCGGGTTCAAGGGTCAGTATTCAGTCACCAATCACCATGTCACGTCATCCACGCTCAGATTTTTTTTTTAAATTCCCTTATTTTATTATTTGTGTTTATGCTAACGACAAGAATAACGTCAAGATAACGACATTATGACGAAAAACGACAACAATGGATAATACAGCATTAGAATAAGCTCCTTTTCCCTTTACATGCTCTAATGTATAGAAATGAAGAATTTGCAGGCATTGGATAGATCATGATTCTGATCGTTGACTTAAAGTCAAACAAAAAGAATATGATAGATTAAAAGGTTGGCCCACCATTAACTTGGAAATTCTCTTGCCTTTGCGTGAAGTATGGTTTAATATTAAAAAAAAAAAAAAGCATGGTTTCAAAGGTTGGATTCCGATTGGCTTCCCCATTAATTCTATCTAGAAAAATGGAAGAGAAAATGATAGCCAAGCAAACAGCCAAGTGCCAACTATGAAACACAGAAATATTCAATCAAAAGAGAAAAACAAAACAAGTAAAATAATGGCTCGTTCACTTCGCTGATTCGAGTTTGTAATTCGAGTTGAGATGTAATTTTGTGTGAGAGCTTTTTACTGTAGCAAAAAAGTTAGATGTGACTGTTTCTTAGAGCTTTTTACTGTAGTAAAACTCGAATCAACGAAATGAACGGGACCTAAGGCTTTGCAAAGGAAAGAAGGGAAAACAGAAAAACAAAACAAAACAAAACAAAACAAAAAACAAAAGAAGGTTGCTCGGAAGGCAAAAACAACAAAATGCAACAAATTGCTTCTTGAGGCTGGTTTTAGAGCTGACAATTTCAGACACAACACGATAAAACGACACAAAAATGATATGAGATAAATGGATTTGGACCGCACAATTATTAATTGAATCGTTAACGAACTGACACGAATAACACGAAAATAAATTGACTGGATTCGTGTCAGCCCGTTTAACACGGTTAACCCATTTAGTTATTCATATATATATATGTATATAATATATTTTTTTAGAGAAAACCCTTCGGTCCTTCCTCTCGCCCTACTTCTCTTTCACTCATTTTCTCATCTACCGCTATCTCTTGTCCAAAGTGCTCCGCCGCCGCTTGCCCACTAGGTCTCTAGACAGCTCCACCGCCGTTTCTTCTTCACTTCTTCTTCTCTGGACTCTTTGGACTCTCTGCAGTATCCCGTCAAATTCGGCGTTTGGAAAGGAAAGGTCTTGCTCTTCTCATTTCTTTGCCAGATCAGCCTTTGTGAAGCCTTCTTCTTCTTCGTCTTTGTCAAATTCGACCTTTGGGAAGTGAGATTCTCAACTCCGTTCAAATTTTTAGGTGCGTGAATAAGTGTTATGGTTTTATTTTCTTATAAATTTAGAGTCATAGGCCTCATGTCCACACTGAAAAAAAAAATGCAACAAATAAAAAAGACAGTAAATAGAAAAGATATCAATTAGAAAACGACGATTAATAAAATAGGGAACAAATAAACGACATAAAAAGGTTTATAAATAAAAAAAAAAAAAGGATTGGTAATAAGGGGTGGGGATGTCGGTGTTGTTGGGGAAAACGACATGATAACTGAGTTCATGGTCTTAGACTTTCAGAGGTTGAACTTCTGTTGGCTTCCGCTTTAAGAAAATTGAAGCGAAAATTATAGTCAATGCTAGATTTAAAATGATCTAAACATGATCTAAACATGATCTAAACAAGATCATAATAGCTAATCTAGCCTAAAATCTGAAAATGCCATAAAAACTCTTATATATTTAGGATTTAGGCATACCTCTATTCTGGTGGGCAGTGGAAACACGTCGTTCACGGTCACTGAAATCCGCCAATGGCCGGTCGGAGTGGGTGGAGGAGCTGTAAAAAGAAGAAAGGCAGGAGGAGCTCTGAGCTCCTCCCTATCTCTCCCTCTCTCTACCATTTGGCCACACCCCCCTAAAAGCCCCACGCACCCTTCACCAAAAATAAAGGGTGGCACCAAAAATATGGAGAAAATAGGATGGGGTGGGGATATTGGCTTTAATCAATATTCAATTAGAGAGAGTATTTTACCCAATGGGCTGACCAAATATTATGAGATAGAGGGAGTTCATATGCATCGAGCGAGTTAATAAAATAAGTGTCCATCCTATAATGGACCGATATTTAACATACATGCATGTGTTAATTCACATTAACACAGTCGTCTATAAGATGCTTTAATTAATTACAGAGTGAATTATTATGATTATGAAAGTCCACA